GACTGCCCTCGCCGCTCCCGCTTTCCCGCAGCTCGCGCTGGACTAGGAGAGCTCGCCGCGCTGCCCCCCTCCCGGCTGGATCGCCCCCTCCGGGGCCGCGCGGGGGACCGCTTGAGCGAGCCCGAGGGGCTCCTGCTCCCTCTTGCCGGAGAGCAAAAAAATAAAAGCGGGGGAAGCAGAAGGAGGTGGTGCGGCCGCCGCCAGGCCAACGCGTTCTCGGGGACCGTCTGGGGCACGTCTCCAGGGGATCGTGAACCGCAAAGAGGGCCCCCTTTTACCTACCTGCGGTGCTGCCTGGCCGAAAGAGGTTCTCCGCACAGTAAATTCCCGGGAGGGCTGGAGAACTAGGCAGTTGCTGCCGCGGCTTCAAGAGACAGTCAGCCGCCGCAGCCCTCTAGGCCAGTTTACACCCCCAGTTAGCAGGTTTTCCCTTACAGAGCCTTTCCAGAGCGTGCTTTCTTACTGGAGACTTAGGGCGTGAAAAGTTTCCGAAAGCAACATAAATTAAACCTATAGAACAACCCAGCGTTGAAGCAAATCCTGAAGTTATGGTGGGAGTCGCGGGCGTCGTCGTATAAAAAAGAGAAGGTGAATCCTCAAAATAATATTGGGGGGTTCAAAGGAGGCAGGCCGATTAGGTATCCCTAAGAAAGCTAACCTCAGGGGCAAATCTCCAGTTCGTTCCTGAAAGGCTTATCTTGAATTAAAAAAGCCCTAGGAATGTGCCCCTCAAATAACCAACAGTTTATCTTTCTGTTCTAATCAAGAAGTAGTACCAGAAAAAATGTGGCAGATAAAGACGATTACCTCATGCATTTTTTTAATGGGAATGCTTAAACTTCAGCTTCCGAAACAAGTTCTGGCATACCTGTATATTTCTAGCTGTTCAGGTGGCTTGCATACAGTTTTTTTTAATGATAGTTGCATTGCACAAACTCAACAATATGAAAGAGTGTACTGTACAGTAATTCTAGTTATGTTAATAAGGGTGTGTTATATAATCCATTATTTGCATGTTGATAGCAAATCAAGTACATTAGTTCAGTAACTGTATAATCTCTTCATATTACAAATAAGAAAAGCTGAGAAATAGTGACTTGCTTTAGCATTCTTAGTAAGTTTGTGGCTGGAACAGCAGATATAGGAAAAAGCAATGGGATAAAAATGATAAGAGTGCATAATGCACTATGCTGAGTTGGAAATTATGCAAATGGAAGGTCATCATAGCAACTGGAGCTTTTAGTGAAAAAGATTTGTGATGACCAGTGTGAATTTGTTCCAACTGTGAATAGATTCCTTTGGAGTGACATAACCTAAAGTGAGTAATTGAGATGGAATAAGTTTAAGAGGATGTACTTATTATCCTTCAAAGTGTGATAGACTTTATAGTGGTGATAAGTCACTTTGGAAAAGCCAATTAAGGTGTATCAGTGGATTTGCATTTTGATTAAACAAGGTATTGTAGGTTCCCTTAATTTCTATATTTCAGCTCTTCATTTTTTATGACTTGGCTATAGAAATGTTTTCCTGGTTCTTATGTGAATAAAGAGAATTTTTTTTTTTTGGTTCCAAGATTTTTATTATATGTTATAGCTAGTTACCACCAGTTTGGACCAAACATATATATACATTTTTAAATGGAAATCATGTGGGCTAAACAGAGAGAGCAGGAATAAAATAAAATAATAAAGAAAGTATGAGTTTGAATACCACCACTCCGCTTTTGTTTTAGGAGAAAAGCTGGCATTGCTCTCAATGAGAATTTTTGTCTCTGTGCAAAATAATCAGTCATCTGGTGTTGGATTCTGTTAAAAACACTTGTGCATGTTAAATACCAAAATGCATGGTGTTGGTTTCAAGGTAAGAAGGACTATTGTAGCTACACATAGTGGCATTTCTGTTGATTCATCCTCTGTATCTTGGAAAAGTTCCTAGATTGCATATCCTTCATGTGCTTTTACTTTCTAGCACTAAATATATATAATTCTTAGTGTAGGGTGTTTCTCTTTCCTTGCATGCTGTTACTATATACACATCTATTACAAAGACATGAACAAAATTGACACATCAAAATAATATGGTTTATCTGGCTTTGGTTTGATGTGCTGTGTGAACTTGATTACTGTAATTTATGAACAGCGATTTAAAGCTTGATGTGTTGTGTGCACTCAGATGATTGTGGTTCATGCCTAATTGCATGGCTTAGTATGATGTGTAATCCCAGTCATAGGGAACACTCTCATGACACACTAATTTTGCAATGGTTTGCCAGTCATCTCTCATTTTAGCCACTGTTGACATATACTTCCTGTTTGTTTGTTTATGACATGTAGAAAATCAAAGACAGTAACTTGATCTGCATTGGAGCCATAGCATACAAGATGCTGGAACACTGAGTTTTTTTCCACCCTGTGATACCCCTGATTCACTGTCACACACCTGTAAGGAAAAAATATATAGTCAGGATCAGGAGAAATAGCTTGGTATTGTGGCACTCCTGCTGTGAGGCTGTGTATCTAAAAGCTGGAAAGGTGGGCTAATCAAAATAAAACAAACATTGATTACAGTAAATTAAAAAGTGGCAGGTAACTATAACATTAAAAATAGGGAACATAATAAAGTATGTCATAATTATGACAAATTAATCCTGAAAATAGATTATGCAGTATTTTTTGCAAACTAATGTAAAATTAATTGCATGTGTCAAATCAAGTGTACATAATTAATATGCTTGTTTCATTTTTTTTAAAGCTCATTTCAGAATAATTGTTGATTCTCATTATTAATTTCAGGTTGGATTCAGGTTTTTTCCCCCTCCACTAGGGGGAGTGTTGCCAAAGTAGTGTTACACCTATAATATTCCTGCTGACTAAAAGGTGAATGTGATAGCTGATTTGCTCCTCAGCCTGTATAATCTGCATTACTAGTTGGAAGATCTTCTTATCCTCCAAAACAGGTATGGAAATACCAAACTGACTAGAATTACAGCATAAATAATTGCATCATCTTATAACATTAGTGGGCTTCCTTCATGGATGGAAAAAGCATTTAATTTTTGGGTGGCAGATTCTGGATCTAGCTCAGCCAATTAAAAAAAATCTAGGTGATAACCAGGGTGATGAATAAATAACAATTTCTATTTAGATTACCTTTTCATCATTAACCTTTCAAAGCATCACCTAATCTGCAATACTGCATATATTTATCTGAAATTAACATTCAAGGAGTCAGCGGAGTTTACTTCTAAGTAAATGTAAGTGCTGAAGAGGCCATTTAGACCATCAAGTCCAATTGGTTGTTCAATACAGGAGTCCAAATCAAAGCTATCTGTTCTCATTTTGATACCTACTTTGGCGTGTGTGCTCAATGTATAGAAGAGCACTACAAGTTATAATGCATATATATGTCTCCAAGATAATGATTTAATATCAGTATGAACAAAATATCAATCCAATACCAAAAAAAAGTTTTTTGCAGGAGTACAGAGAATTTCTGACTATATAAGTATCATCCTGCTAATGTATCTCTGTTGGCTTCCCCCTGAGTTAGGAGTGTAGCTTTATTTTCCTTTGTAATAAGTAGCAAAGCAATTAAAGATCTAAGTATCCTTTGTTGTATTAATAAAATGTTTTTTCATAATGTTTAAATACTTTTTTGACTGTTCCAGTGAAAAAACCTAATGCAGGCATTGTCTTAATGTCAGTCTAATTTAGGACTGCTCCATACTTTCTGCTTCCCCAGCATGAGAATGATCCACCTGTTGTTTTATAAGGGCAAGAATAGATGACATTGTCCTCAGTCCACCTGTAACTTGCTGGGAAGGTGACCTCCACCTGAATTTTCTAGCTCTGCATCGAAAGTATTGTGTTTTTCATCTTTGCTACCAGGAGCAGGTCAGTCCGGTCTGCTTACTGCACTTCATTCTGTCTTATGCAAATACCTTTGTTCCAATTGGCTGAAATGTACCTCAGTACATCCATTTCCTCAGTCTCTGCTCTCTGCCTTTGATGGCCATCTCATGCTGGACTAGTGGGCTTCCTGCCAGGTTCAGTAAATATTCCATTTATCTATATTCTGTTAAGTAGAATAGTGAAATGCTAGCCATTTCTTTGTTTTCTTGTTTTTCTTAATCAGGTTCATCAGAGAAACGTAGAAAGCTGGCCTTTTCTTTGTTTTTTTACAGTATTTTGTTTTTAAACTGCATGAAATTGACAAGTGTTAGCCAAGTTTGCCCTTCTAGCCCAACCGTCAGGAAGAACAGTAAACTGTTGTCTTTTGTTGTTGTACACCAAACTGACAAATATGACCACAGAAGGAAATCTTGCTCTGGTATGGGGTGTGTGTGTGTGTGGAGTGGGGGTTAAAGAAGAAGGGAAATTTATCAATCAAGGGCCATGTTAACCACAGTCTGGACACAACAGTTGGCCATTGTATGGCCGAAGTGGAGGAATGGTGAAATCTGGTAAGGGGTTTCTTATTCTAGCTTCAATCTCAGCATGGGAGACAAACAGATGAAAACTGTAATATGAAAAAGCTGTAGTATACTGTCTGTAGTCAATAATCTGTTGTCCACTAGCCCCTTTATTGTTCAGTATGCACAATGGGTATCTGATATGAAGCTTCATACTTGCCTTGAAAAGTCCATTAATAGTTCATGTTTTATGATATTTTAAAATAGAGCCAATAAGAAATGTACATTTAAACATATAAAACCCTCAGATGCTTTTTACAATGCAAGTTTCTGTATTAAAAGCTACTTACAAATTGTGGCTTAATCTTTTTCTTAGACAAAAGATTAGAAAATAATTCCCTTTTGGTTTGCAGATCTTTGGGTGGTCTCAAATAAGGTAAGGAATCTATTTGTACGATTCCTCTCTGCTTCTGTAGCCTACTATATATATCAACATACAGTATTGTGCAAAAGTTTTAGAGGTGTGAAAAAAATGCTGTAAAGTAAGAATGCTTTCAAAAATATATATTGTAATTGTTTATGTTTATAATGCTTTCAAAAATATATATTGTAATTGTTTATGTTTATAATGCTTTCAAAAATATATATTGTAATTGTTTATGTTTATCAGTTTACAAAATGCAAAGTGAACAGAAGAGAAATCTAAATCAAATCAATATTTGGTGTAACTACCCTTTGGCTTCAAACCAACATCAATGCTTACACTTGCACAAGTCAGGGATCTTGTAGGATTAGAGTCAGGTGTATGATTAACCAATTATACCAAGCAGGTGCTAATGATCATCAGTTTCATATGTAGGTTGAAACACAGTCATTAACTGAAACAGAAACAGCTGTGTAGGAGGCTTAAAACTGGGTGAGGAACAGCCAAATTCTACTATTAAGGTGAGGTTGTGGAAGACAGTTTCATGTCACAGGTTATACACCATGGCAAGACTGAGCTCAGCAACAAGAC